ACACAGATTATGGGTGTACCAAGGGTTTTTTTCAGCTTATTACAAAAAATGTGATTTCCATAACCCTGGAGGGGGTCTGAGGCTATGGAAGTCTTAACTAGGCAGTGGACTGTGGATAGAAGCCAACGCTGCTGAGGGGGTGTGAACGCGCTTGGGGGTCTTTAAGTAATATTGTTTTGTTTTGTTTTGTTTTGTTTTTGGTGGAACCGGGGACTGAACTCAGACCCTTGTGCTTGCCAGGCAAGCACTTATTCTACTGAGCCATCTCTCTGGCCCTAAGTAATATTGTTTAACTGTCCCATTCAGAGCCAACCAGAAGCTATCAACCATTAAAATTATGAGTATTTCCAAAAAAAAAAAAAAAGAAAGAAAAGAAAGTCAGGACAATAAAAAAGCAGAGGTAGGCCGGGGAGATGGCTCAGTAGGATAAGTGCTTGACTGGCAAACACAAGGATCTGAGTTCAATCCCTGGTTCTGCCAAAAAAATAAATAAATAAAGTAAAAAATAGGAAAGCAGAGGTGGACAGGTTTGTAGAAGGCCCTGTTGGCTACTGTAGGAAGTTAGTTTTCACTTTCTGTGAAATAGAAAGTGATCAAAGTGTTTTTTTTGTTGTTGTTGTTGTTTCTTTTTTTTGTTTTTGTGGAACTGGGGATTGAACTCAGGACCTTCCACTTGCCAGGCAAGTGCTTATTCTACTGAGCTATCTCCCCAGTGCGATTGAAGTGTTTTGAGGAGAGCCATACCATGAAGTTATTTCCATGCTGAAGCAGTGCTGCAATTAGACAAGTGACAAGAAGCTGGGCAAGGTAGTGGCACACGCCTGTGACCCCAGGACTCAAGAGGCCAAGGCAGCAAGGAATACTGACCTGAGTTCAAGGCCCACCTGCACTACAAAGTGAATTCAAGGTCAGCCTGGACTGTAGAAAGACCCTGTCTCAAAAAAAAAAGTACGAGAATAAAAGCAGTATGATAGACTAGGGAACTATTTTGAACTAGAGATGGTGGCATTTTGGACCAGATAAAAGTGCATTGGCCTGTACCAAATAAATAAATAAATAAATAAACAAATAAATAAATAAAATTTTAAAAGTGTATTGGTGTTGCCAACAGGATTTCCTGATGTATAAAAGAAATGACATCAAGTATGATGCCAGATTTTTAAGCCAAAACAATAAAAAGGTTAAAACTACAGATGAAATCCCTACAGGAAGGAAAACCCAGGAGTAGCTAAATGCATTC